AACTGTAACGCTGCTGGTGTTATTGAAACAGGATCTGCCAGAGTCCAGCTCAACTCACAGTCACCCAGGGCTGTGTTCATACAGTCAGCAGTCAGAGCACTAAATGTTATTTAATCTGTAACTCCTGCAGATTGGTCTGGAAAGTCACTGAGATGTCCAGAGATCTCACAGACTGACTCTGAACCTCCATCACCTTTCAGGGTGCTCAGCCTCAATACCCAGAAAACCATCCTGGTGAGCTTGGGAGCTGAACACATCAAAGAGAGATGGGAAGAGAAGGAAATAACAATGTCATACTAAGGGAGGGTCCAGGACAGCTCTCAATGACACCCTGGAGTGTTTGTCTGTCACTCCAGAGCAGAGTCCTGAGCACACCTGGCAGAAGCTCAAGCTCTTTGCTATGAGGTTTGGAAGACAGAAAGGGTCATGTCTGCTACATCATTGGAATGAGCCATGGGGATTAGTCCCTATAAATTTCTCCTTTACCCAGTGGTACAGAAAAGCCTGTATTGTATTCTGCTATTTAAAAAAGGGACAATATCTGGGCCACCATTTCTCCTGTGACAGCATCCTTGGTCCAGCAGCTTCCCAGGCAGGATTCCTCTGATTGAAGAGCATTGTGACAACATCAAACTAAAAATCCTTCACTGAGCTTTCACCACAGTGGAGGTACAAAGGGTTGAAACTGTGGGCTCTATATTTCATGAAGCCGAACAAAAATAAAGTTAGTAACAATTATGGCCAACTTCTCCAAGACAGAGCAGTCTGTACTCCCCATCTACAGGCACCAGTGAAGTGATTTGTCACACAGTGGTTTAGGTTTAACTCACTCTCAGTCTGACAGGAGATTTGCTTCACTTAGCTGTGGCTGAAATGGCTGAGCTTAGCATTCCTGGGCTAAGCCAAGCTGCCCCCACTTCACTCCAAACCCTCCTGGAGGATGCACTTGGGCACTCATCACAGGTTGTAGCAACAGAGGCACAGGTGCAGTTCTCTTCAGCACATAGCTAAGGGATGGCACCTCTGGCAAAGAGACAGGGCAGGAAATGGAGACAGCCACCTCTTCATCTGGCACAGCAGGATTTGCCAGAATGTTCAGCAGAGCCCACAGAATGAATTACAATTAGCTGCTAAGGCTGAGGCAGTCTAAAATGCCCACCAGGAGACATCCTAGCACACAAAACATGCACTAACAGGCACACTAGAGCCCCTTACTACAGATCCTGAATCCTCCCTCCTTCACTGCAGACTAGTCCACATTTTCTTATATGCCCAACTTTGTTGGGGAATACCTGGAGGGAGCACAGAGTAAATCGTGCAGTTCTGCTGCCTCTGGGAGGGTGACTCAGACTGTATAACTAAGATGTGATTCCCCCATTTCAGAGAAGGAAAGATGAAGGATCATTTGGGAAACGCTGCCTGTTCCTCAAATCCCTCACTGGCCAATTCAAGTAATTAAAAATATATTCCACTGACAGCAATGCAGTGACATTGAGTCTGTGACCTCTGGACAACTGTAGGTATGTGGACTACAATCATAACAGCCCTAAAGACAAGGTTTAGCATAACAGCACATTTATTTACATTTCATATGGAGGGGGTCCAAAAAGCATTAAAGCCTGAAAACCTGCAGGCTGAAGTAGTTCTTTGCCTGCAAGGGAGGGGATAATCAGGGTTACAGTGAGGTATTGAAAAATATACCATAAAACACCTTCATCATTCATAGCATTGCCTGTCAGCAATCTCCTGCCAGTATTTACCCACGCAGAACTGGGGAGAGAGCGCTCATTATCACTCACTATTTTTGGCTGGTTTTGCAGATGTGTTACAAACACCACTGGATTTTAAGGAAGTGTTCAGCAGCCTCTTTGGCTGACACAAAGCTATCCTAAAAGCATTCCCAGCTCTCACTTCATATAGTCAGGCTTGTAGGCTCAAACTCTCACAGTCTCATCTGAATTTCTTGCACATCTCTACGGAATTGCTCCACCACCTTTTTCCTCCTGTGGCCAAGTGCAGAATGACCTTCAGTTTTTGCACTGCAGCCAAAAGCAGCTTGTTTAGAAAGTTAGAAAACAAAGAGTTTAGAATAAACTTCTGTATCTTTTTCACTAACACTTTGATCAAGCATGTAAGCTCAACAAAAATAACTCATCATCAATGGCTGGGCTGTACTAGAGCATTCCCAAGCTCAGGCCATGAAATAGTTAATGAGCCTGTTTCAAAACACTTTTAAAAAAGGAATCTTTCTGCTTTCTGAAAGTGGCTTTGGAATAGACCCAGACTACTTAAGTCACAAAATACTGAGACACAGTAGTAATTATTCATGGTGAACCCTTACTTACTTGTCAGTAAATCACCATTAAGGAAAGGTTAAGATTCCCTCATTTAAAATGAGAAGCAAGGGTTTTGTCATCCCCCTTTATCATCTTTGACTATATATAAAAAATTATTAACACACGTAAGCTTTCCCATCAAAATCTCCAGTAACATCAGGCAATATGTGTAAAATACATCAGCAATAAAATGGAGTTTAGTGTATCTGAGGAACTCCATGCAGACTTTGTAAAATAGTAGTCTGACCTCGATCCAACCAAACAGAACCCATTTCCTTTCAAAGGGAGACACTTCTTTTAAGACAGAAAAGCTTAAAAGAATCAGCTTTAGTCCTTAGGAGCAGACTCCTTATAAAAGTGCATCAAAAAAAAACAAAGTATCTTGTTCATTTACAAAAGCTTTTATTCTTGCAGATGCTTAAGATGATGCTCTTCAGTGTTTCAGAGGGGAAAACAATTTCCCAAGGGTGTTTCTGAGCGAGACTGTCAGGTGATGTTTTCAGTGCCTGTACTGTTCTAGCTGGGGGAAACAACCCAACAAAAAGAGCCCACACATGTGCAAGGGAGATCAGAGATGCAGCCTCACTAGATGGCAACCCCTGGGCTGTCCAGGTGCCCTCACCACCTCCACAGCATGGAGAGGGGCTCCATTGCTCCTCAGGAGTTACACTGAAGTTTTTGTTTGGTCTGTGTTGGGAAAAGCTGTTGTTAGCTCCTTTCCAGGCTTATCAGACTACCAATGCCATGTACTCCTCAGATACAAATACATCCTCTGGCAGCAATGTAGCCATACTTAGAAAAACACTGATTTCTAGATTTCTTTTTTTTTTCTTTCAGTGCAAGCTCCCATAATCTGAGCATCCCCCTTAAGGAACTATAGCAGGTTGGAGGCTAAGCTGAAGAGACTTGTGCAGCTGCTGCTCAGTCAGCCTGATTCCCAGAGCCTGACCCAAAGTACTTGCAAGCCCACAAAGAACCCTCCCAAGCTGGCAGCACTGGGAATGAGCTGCCTGCCCAGCCTTGGATCAGCCCAGCTCTGCTGGCACCCACAGAGCTGATTCTCCCACTGGTTTTAGACAAGACCTAACCCAAGAAGGCTGATTGATGCTCAGCTTCTGAGCACCACAGGTACAGGGCAGCAGAGCACCAAATGAGCAAAAACCACCAGCTGCTCAGATTTGTGTCCTTTGGGGCTACTTGGAATAAGAAGGTGAGGTCCGTGAGCAATCAGACTATTCAGGTTTGCAATGTCTATCCCAGAACCAATGCCTGAAAACCTCTTTTTTACTTCCCCTGAGCAAATCTCATTGGCACCTGTGAGACAGCTGTCAGGATAGGCTAAAAAGTCTTCAGGATTAGATGCCCAGTTAATACACGTTTGTCTACTGAGCTTATGAGTTATATAAATCCTAAAACAGGTGGGTTTGCTCCTTACCTGGGACCACTGCATTATCAGCTCCCCCATCATTTGCAAATCTTAGGTGCACAGCTCAGGGGAGAAAAATGGGCACTCAGATTATTAGCACAGCATCATCAAGCTGAAATAATTCTGAGCAGCTATCAAGACACACTGCAAATTCACATGCTTGGAGCTAAACAAACAAAAAATAATCCAACACATCTCCACCTGCAATAACCCCCAGCTGGTCTTGCCCAGGTAGTGTCAGACGCAGTTGGGTGCAAGCTCTGCTGGGAGCTGGCAGTGTGCAGCTCACTAATGCAAGCTGGGAGGTTTGCCAAAGTGAGGAAGGCAGGACAGAGCTCACAGAGCAGAACACTGTCCCATCATCCAAACCAACAGCAGGGCAGGATTAACCTAATTTGTAGCTACCTTGGCTGGACAGGCTGCCCATTGATCCTCATACACACTCTCAAGAAGCTGAGTGAAATAAACTGCTGCAAAATTGTTCTTGAAAAGTGCATTTCCTCAACAGCACCCAGCTATCAAACGCTGGAGTGTTGTGGATATTCATCCATAGTGGTTCCTTTCCATACAGCTTGTGGACACTTGGGCAGCTTGTGGGGAGGAAAGAGGAGGCAGCAGTTACAGCTCTTGCTTATGAAAGTAAAATTAAAACATTTGCCAAAACAATTATCTCAGTTTATCTCCAAAAGATTTTGCTTCACCTCTCCACACTTCCCAGCATGCTGACCCCAAATCCCTGAAAAGTTAAACCTGGGTAGAAGAATGAAAAAAAATTGCTTTACCTTCCACACTATCTTTTAAAACACAGAAGGCACAAGGATTTGTCACCACCACCGAGGGTAAAACCCCAGGCTGATCCGTATGTGGATCCCGTTTTAAAAACAAACAATCCCCTTGGGGCTGGCAGGGAGCCAACCGCGGGATTGCCCTTGAAAACTTGCATCTCAATAGGAAACCCCCTAGTATTTTGATCTGTTTTCATAACTGTAACAATTTTCATCCCTTGACTTTGTAGCATATTATCGCTCCTTTCTTTCTACCAAGTTACAGAAACAGACGGCACAAATGAAGGCCAAACAAGCACGGGTCGCTGTGGATAAAATACACCATTTCAAAAGATTTGGAAAAGACAAAACCCGCTGCCTGTCTTAACTCCTGCCAAAAAACCATTACAGAGGATGGAGGCACGGGGAAAGCCCCTGAACGCCGCGTCCCAACAGCAGCAACAACCACACATCTCGGATCTATTGTGTAGCTTTATTTTTATAGGACCTATCATAGACTCTTTTACATAACTTAAATGATTATCAAATAATCTCCTGTACACAATGAGACGGAGCCGCATCGCTTTCTGAGCTTTGACACATTCCTGGAAGAAATCCAACAGTCTGTAGGAATCACATGGCCGCAGTGGCTACAGTACATTTTTGTCCCGAACTTACACCATCAATTAACTTACGAATCGCTGTAAATTGCCGTTTTGCAAGACTCTGCAAGACGCTGTTAAAATTTCAGGATACTGAGTTTTGGTAGCAGCATTTTTAATTTTGCTTCGCTTTCTTGCCTTTGTGTCCTCAGCTGAACACCTGCCAGCACTTGTGACAAACGTGAGCCTGGGAAAAATGTTAAACGCACCTCAACTGTTGACACGAGCTTTAGAATTAGACTGAAATCACTGACGAGCGGTCCCCGCGGCCTCTGAGGAGCGCAGCCCCTGTCCCCAGGTCGCCCACAGGTTCAGCAACGCGTCTGCCTACAGCCAGCCAAGCCCCGGCCCCTAAGGAAGGAGGATGAAAGGGGGGCACCGGCCGCTACAAAAAGACCTGAAGAAACCCAAAGTTTCACATTTTATTTGCAGCGTCGCCCAAACCGCAGGAGGAGGAGACTGGCAGTGCACAAGGGTGAGTCCTGCGGGGGCCGTGGCCTCGGTTTCGGCCGCGGGGCTCT